CCACTCGCCCAAAATTGACAGATCCCTTTGGAGTGCCTCACAATCCTCACTGGTTTTCACCACCCTGAACAACTTCGTATCATCCGCAAATTTAGCCACTTCACTGCTTACTCCCAACTCCAAATCATTAATGAACAAGTTAAAAAGCAGTGGACCAAGTACTGATCCCTGCGGTACCCCACTGCTTACCACCCTCCACTGAGAAAATTGCCCACCTACACTCACTCTCTGTTTTCTATGAACTAGCCAGTTTTTGATCCATAAAAGGACTTGTCCTTCTATCCCATGATTTTTGAGCTTACTTAGGAGCCTTTGATGAGGAACTTTATCAAAAGCTTTCTGGAAGTCAAGGTAAATAATATCTATTGGATCCCCCTTGTCCACATGTTTGTTCACCCCCTCAAAGAACATTAACAGGTTAGTGAGACAAGATCTTCCCTTACAGAACCCATGTTGAGTCTGCCTCAATAGGTTTTGTTCATCTATGTGCCTACTAATTCTTTCCTTAATAATGGTTTCCACCAATTTACCCGGTATCGACGTCAGACTGACTGGCCTGTAATTTCCCGGATCTCCTCTGGAACCCTTTTTAAAGATGGGAGTGACATTAGCTACCTTCCAATCCTCAGGAATGGAGGCAGATTTTAAGGAAAGATTACATATCTTTGTCAGGAGATCTACAAGTTCACATTTGAGTTCTTTCAGAACTCTCGGATGTATGCCATCTGGGCCTGGTGATTTTTCAGTTTTTAAGTTGTCTATCAGTTTTAGGACCTCCTCTCTCGTCACCTCAATCTGACTCAGGTCTTTCAACACCCCTCCCGAACTCAGCGGCTCTGGAGTGGGCAAGCACCTCTCATCTTCCACAGTGAAGACGGAGGCAAAAAATGCATTTAGCTTCTCAGCCATTTCCCTATCATCCTTCAATACTCCTTTTACCCCTTGGTCGTCCAAGGGCCCCACTGCCTCCCTGGCTGGTTTCCTGTTTCTAATGTATTTGAAGAAAGTTTTATTGTTGGTTTTTACGTTTTTTGCTATATGCTCCTCATATTCCCTTTTTGCCTGCCTGACCTCAGACTTGCATTTTATTTGCCATAGCCTGTGTTCTGTTTTATCAGCCTCACTGTGACTAGCTTTCCACTGCTTAAAGGAATTCTTTTTACTTTTTACAGCCTCCATTACTCTGTTTGTTAACCATGCAGGCTTTTTCCTATACCTGTTTGTGCCTTTCCTAACCTGCGGAATATATATTTTTTGAGCTTCTAGGATCGTAGTTTTAAATAGATCCCAAGCTTCCCCAATTGTTTTGACCCTTTCTACTTTTCCTTTCAGTTTCCTCCCCACGTGTCCCCTCATATCAGAGAAATTACCCCTTTTAAAGTTAAAAATGGTTGTGTGAGTCTTTTTGGCCAATTCTCTATTTGTACAAATGATGAACTCAACAACATTATGATCACTGTTTCCAAGCGGTGCAATCACTTTTACATCTCTCACCAGGTCTTGAGTGTTACTTAGGACCAAATCAAGGATCGCCTCTCCCCTGGTAGGTTCCGTGACCATCTGCTCCATAGCACAGTCATTTAGAGTGTCTAGAAACTCAATCTCTTTTTCCCGACTAGAACACATATTGACCCAATCAATGTGTGGGTAGTTAAAATCACCTATTATTACACAGTGTTTTTGTCTAGTTGCTATCTTTAAGGCATTCATCATTTTATAATCCTCCTCTATCTTTTGATCTGGTGGGCGATAACAAACTCCCAGTGTTAAGTTTCCTTTTGGCCCCCCTATTTCAACCCATAGAACTTCCAGAAGCGAATCCAATTCACTTAGCCTCTCAATCTTTCTAGACTTTATACCCTCTCTGACATACAGAGCTACCCCACCTCCAACCCTTCCCCCCCTATCCTTCCGATATAATATATAACCGGGAATCACTGTGTCCCACTGATTTTCCTCATCCCACCAAGTTTCAGAAATACCCACAATGTCTATTTTTCCCTCCGACACCAAGCACTCCAACTCCCCGATTTTACCTCGGACACTTCTAGCATTTGTATAGAAACAGCTGTAATTTCCCTTACAAGTTAAGCCTGCATCCTTCCTCTTGCTATCTCGAGTCGTTGTCCGGCAGTCCATGTCACCAGCCATGGCCTCTGTGGACAATTTCAATCCACCTCCCTGTAGAAAAGCAACCGGTACCCCCTCACCTCTCTCAGATGAGCCAACCCGAACCAGAGACTTTTCATCTCCTGTCGGCTTTCCCCCAATATTCAGTTTAAAAGCTGCTCTGCCACCTTTTTGATTTTAAGTGCCAGCAGCCTGGTTCCTTCTCGGGACAAGTGGAGACCGTCTCGCCTGTACAGCTCCCTCTTGTTCCAAAAAGTATCCCAGTGCCTAACAAACCTGAACCCTTCCCCCCTACACCATCGTCTCATCCACGCATTGAGACTCCTGATCTCTGCCTGTCTCTCCGGCCCTGCGCGTGGAACAGGTAACACTTCTGAGAAGGCTACCTTGGAGGTCCTGGACCTAAGTTTCCTGCCCAGCAGCCTAAATTTCTCCTCCAGGACCTCACGACTGCATTTCCCCACATCGTTGGTGCCGACATGCACCACGACCACTGGCTCCTCCCCAGCACTATCTACCAGCCTATCTAAAACACGCGTAATGTCCGCTACCTTCGCACCAGGCAGGCAAGTCACCATACGGTCAGTACGCGGGTTCGCCACCCAGCTGTCTACCTGCCTAAGGATCGAATCACCCACTACCAAGAGCCCCCCTCCCACCCTGCTCAGGGATGGTTCCTTGGTGCAAAAGGAGAGCCGCTCACCAGCTGGGGAAGAGGTCCCTTCTGAGGGCACATTCCCCTTATCCTCAGCATGGTGCCCTGTTTCCCCTAGACCCTCATGCTCCCTGACAGCAGCGGGGCTGCCAGATCCAGAGTGGGACGAAGCTAACAAGTCCCCGAGAGTCTTTTCTGTGTGCCTAGCTGACTGTCTCTGCTTCTCCAGGTCAGCCACCTTGGCCTCAAGGGAGCACACACGTTCCCTGAGAACCAGGAGCTCCTTGCACCGAGGACACACCCAAGACTTCTGCCCAGTGGATTGCAGTCAATCACAGTCAAACAATGCCCTTTCCTCTCCCTCTCTCAAGCAGCCAGGAATCTGCAACAACTCCAAGAGCTTCCCCACACTCCCAGACTAGTTCTCCCACCAATATCCTCAGCTGAATCCTCTCAGCTGAAAGCAAGTAAAAAAACCACTCACCCCTCTGTCTCCTGCTCAGAGCTCAGCTGGGTCTCCTCTGCCTCTGGCAAGGTGCTTCCTTAAATAGAGGCCTCCCCCAGCAGAGGGCAGGCAGCAGCTATTCAAATGCACCCAGGCACTCAATCACATGCAAAATAATGCCCCTTCCTTTTCCTCTCAATTGCAGTCAATCACAGTCAAACAATGCCCTTTCCTCTCCCTCTCTCAAGCAGCCAGGAATCTGCAACAACTCCAAGCACTTCCCCACACTCCCAGACTAGTTCTCCCACCAATATCCTCAGCTGAATCCTCTCAGCTGAAAGCAAGTAAAAAACCACTCACCCCTCTATCTCCTGCTCCTGCTCAGAGCTCAGCTGGGTCTCCTCTGCTTCTGGCAAGGTGCTTCCTTAAAAAGGATACCCGCTCAGTGTTTCAGTTAATGTTATCTCAGTGTTTCAGCTAATGTTTTGATGGGGTCAGATCTTACAACTTGGTAACAGAAAATAATGTACACCAAATCCTCAGCTTACATGCATTTCTGAGTGCAACCAGAACAGATAAGTACAGTTGCAGTCTCTTCAAACAGGTATTTTATTTATTCACCTATTTATTGGCTGGTATCTTTGTGTTACCACCTTCAGCCAAACAGTTCCATTGACCCTTTTCAATATCCTGGACCTTTTTCAATCAGGCTACAGGCCTTGCTTTGGGTCCAAGACAACACTGGTTGCTTTGGTTGACAATCTCCTTTTACATCTGGATAAAGGCATGCTGGCCCTGTTTATCCTTATCAGCGGCCTTCAGTACAGTTGACCATTTGGTCCTTGTTACCACCAGTGGCTTACGTTGTTGGGGGAAATTAGCTATGAGGCAGAGGAGGCCAGAGGGGTATCAAGGACTGCACACCTGTATATACCAAGGTCCGGTCCAGTAGGAAGACTCCAGAGTTGAAGAGTGAATCAAATAGTTTTTATTGAAGAATTTCCCTAATTACAAGCACTCTGAGCATTCAAGAAAGAGCACACAATTCAGAAATAAGAAAACAGGGGTGACAATACGAGTTATGGGGGTTATACTACCTGTCCAGATGTGCAGAGGTCCATGGAGAAGAGATTATGGCTCAAAGTTTGGGAGTGAATTGCCAGTTGGTGTCCGGGCAGACACACAGTTGAGGCCATGTGCTTTGGTGGATATAGACATGGAGAAACAATGCAGACCAATGGGAGGCCTTGAGGGACTTGTCTCAGGTGAAGACAAAAGATTTCCTGGACCAATAAGGGGTCCAAGGGGGTGTGACACCAGGAGGAGTAAAACCTAGGTGTGACCCTCTGGGCTCCACTGAGGGCTGCTGGGAGCAGGGGGCGGGTCTTGTTGCATGTGCCTGCTGCCCTCTGAGCTCCTTACTGCCAGAGCTCCACTCCTGTGCGCTCCTGCAGGAAATGATCCTTGGTTCAGATAATGCCTATTTGAGCTTTGAATTCAGAATGAGAGAGCCCTGGCAGAAAACTTGAGCAGCTTCATAATTCTCATGCATACATCTTGTGAGAAAATAAAGTCTTGGTTTGTATGTGTGTTACAGCAATGAAATGGAAGCCTTACACCTTATTACTCGTATCTTCTTTGATCTCCTTTCAAACTGGGAAAAAGGGACGTGGACAGAGATTCTGCATTGGATCAAAGACTATAGATGCACTTGGAGAAGCATTTGTCACTGTGATAAACAGTTTTTCGTTGTCTGTCCCTTGCAGGTAGTATTGTACCCAACATCCAACAGCTCAAAATCACCCGAGCTGCATAAAATGGTTGTCCCCAAAAACAGCCAAGACTCTGATTTGAGGATAAAGTTGGCTGTGAGGATGGATAAACCGCCACACATGAAGCACTGCGGGTGAGTGTCTCTTCTGCAAAACAGCAGGTTTTGATCATATAACAAAGACATTTGAAGTGAACTGTGGCTGCAGTGTATTACATCACAAGAAAATAGGAACTTTATTTTAAAGTTCAAAGCCTTATATACGTATATTGAATAACTCATTTAAGAATAAAACACAGTAAAGGCAAGGCATGGTGTGGAAAAATGAAGGCGTGTTGGATTTTACAAGACCTGTGCTTGAATTTTGGCACTGTGGTTCCCTCACTGTCTAGTTTTGATTTTTCTACCTCTTCTTGTACATAAATGAGAGAATGTTTGCAACATCCAGTTCTTTCCCACTGCACCTTTCTAGTTATTATTATATACAGCAGGGAGAAGAGACTTTGCCAAATAGATTTCCTTGACCAGATCCAAAGAAATGCATCCTTTCCTGTCCCTGCACATGCTGCATACCAAGCCACTTTGGAAACAGGCAGAGTTTTCAAATGTAGATTGAGATATGGCAGGAAAATCTCCAGTTTACAAAGGAGGAAGGGAAAAAATGCTCCAAAATCCCACTTGGTTTAAGTGAATCCCAGCCCTTGTCAAGAACATGGATACTGAACACAGTCCTGTGTCATTACTTCTCTCCAGTAATGGGCAATGACAATAAAACTCTGCCAAAGAAGGAACAAACAGGTCCATGTGTAGCAAAATGAAAAGGTCACTGTTTAAATAATTTATGGCAGGATTTAAAAAATTTATGGAAAGTACTCTTTTGTGTTAGAAGCAAGAAGGGTGGTTCTAAGTGATTAGAATTTAACCATCTCTGCCTGTTATCCACAATCCCCTGATTATTAAGCACCTATTCTCCACGGTCTACGATTTTCTTGGATTAAACATTCAGAGGGTGATTGTTGTCAGCCTAATATAGTAATCAAATGCATGCTAATAAGGAACTGTAAACTTTGACAAGGTACTCCAGTGTCCAGTTTGTGTTTAGGACTGGGGTTTAGGCTGCTAGTTCTTTTCTCATTTAATCCTCATCACTATGACCAAAAGCCCTGTATACAAGTTACAGTGAACACATATACATCCTGCATATACATACATGGATATGTTCATAAGAAGGAGCCAGCATGTATTCACTTTGCAAATAAAATTGGACACCAGTACCTGGATAAATATGGGGTTTAAAATGCATGTTCAGCTGTAAATTCATTGAATGTAGCATAAGAATTACCATGTATGCAAGGAAAATCAAAGCCCTTTTTTCAGGTGTTACATTTTTGATATAGCTTTCCCAAATACTGCAATTAACTTGGTATGTGTGATCACCATTTTGGCGGGAAAGGGCTATGTGTGCATTTTACAGCTTCAGTACATATGATCCAAAAGCAGGATTTTCAGAGGTATGCTTTTATCCATATTGGAGCTGCTAAATATTTATGTTACTCATTTTTTAAAAAAAAAATGGAAATTTCGCAAACAGATGACACACAGCACATTCTCCCTGTATATCTGATAGGAATGCCAAAAGGGTATTGCCTGAAAAGGGCTCAAGTATACACTGTATGCAGATTGTATCTGTGTTCACTATGGCATGTATACAGGCTGACTGTCTTAACTATTCAGGACCAAAAAAGTTGCACTGCTGAAAGCACACTTTTTAACAGCCATTCCTTGATGGGAGTACAACCACCTTTTTAAGAACTTAAGACTGAATTTACACATCCCACTTAAAGTGTTTTTCAGCCTTTCTGTAGCAATTGGTAACCTCCTGCAAAGAACAAAGAGACTGTTGAAAAAGTATCAGGCTTCAGATTCCAAACTGAAAAAGAGGCAGTTTTCAAACACTCTTGAACCAGGCTTGTGCATAAATTCATGACTATGCAGGAAAGTTGATTTTCATCCTCCTTATGTGTATGTGTGATTTGGTTTGAAGCTCTAAAGCAAAGGAGGACTAAAAAAAATGTGTTCAAAGTAAATGATATTAGTATTCCCTAGAGATCAGCATGAACAGCTCAGATAATCTCAAATACTGGAATTGTTTATTTAAAATCAAAGTATACAGCTTTATGCATATTTCAGTTAGGCAGCAGTGTCGGATTTAAAGAAGTTTAATCAGTAACGGTAATGCACCATACACACACACACACACACACACACACACAATTTTTATTACAATGGATAGTCATGGCTGCTAATTGGTAACCGTGTTTTATCAATTGTTGGCCTATGGAAAACAAATACTTTTTAAACATCTCTTAATTTGCTTTGTGTCCACTAAGCATCTTGTGCCGTAAATTATATTGTCTATGCTAGAAATGTGTTTGACCATATGAGTTATGTTCTAGCATAGCCTAGTGGCTAAAAGCTTGTATTGCTTCAACAAATACAAACATAAAACTCTTAAGATGTTAATCAAATTCAGGCAGTAAATTATAGGCGTGTGACATGATGTAATTGTTAAGAAAAACTGAAGCTGGGAGAGTCAGGTTTCTTTGATGTTGTAATTGTTTTATACTATTGGTCTCTGGAGGGCAATCTCAATATTTGTGTGATTGTGCACTTGTGCTTTGGTCGCTGCCCTCCCCTCCCTTTCAGCCTCTCTTGGCTTAAGGGATATGTGGACCTACCCTGAGTCAAACCATAGGTCCACCTAGGCCCCTGCCACATGCAGGGGAAAAGGCGCGGCTTTTAAAAGCCGCGCCAACGTTGATACGGCTTGGCGGGATCGCACGGATCCCCCGGCCGAGCCGCCTTTTCTCCCCGGCGCGATCAAACGCCGGAGAGAAAAGACGGCTCTAACCGGGAGCCGGCCGAACTGCGCATGTCAGAACATGCGCAGTTCGGCTCCGGCCCGGGTTTGTGCCGGCGCAAAGTCGCGCCAGCGATCAAACGCCCGGGAAGGAGCGCCTCTTCTGTTTGAACCACCGAGGTAGGTGGTTCAGTTTGAGGCGCTTTTTCCCGGGAAAGGGCCAGTTCGGGGACGGTATCACGGCGCTTTACAGATGTTGTGGTGTGATCGCGCCGGTTTGACCCGCCCCCGAACTGTCCCGCTCCCGGGCCAAATCGCCTCGTGTGAACGGGGCCCTAGTATATTTTTGTCTGCTCTGGTTGGGAGTTCTCCAGAATCTGGGGCATACTGGGAAATTTAAATGGTGAGGATTAGATTTACAGGGTCCACATTATGGCCCTCCAAAGAAGATGCCCCTAGGAAAGTATTTTCTAGGGAAATGACAGGTGTAGTTCTAGGGAAATGACAGGTGTAGGTCAAAGGGTATAGAATGGACCCTGTGCATGCTAGAGACATCAAACTCAGGGGACGTCCTCTGATGCTCCTCTACATGCACTCCAAATTTGTGCAGATTGGATTTTAGGGTCCAAATTATCCCCTTCCCCCCCCCAAAAAAAAGATGCCCCCAGGAAATGCCTTCGGGGGAAATGCCAGGCACAAGTTCAAAAGTGTATAGAATAATCCTCTGCAAGCTACACGCAACAAATGCACAGGGAACCTCACCCTACTGCCCACTCCTCTACAATCTCTTCCCCCTGTTGCTTTGAAGTTTAGTAAACATTTTGATTGAGCAGGGCTAGTCTGTCTAGAAATTAATCCATTCATGAAACTGCTGGAAAGTTCGTGCTGGTTGACCTGCTATGAATTTCAGTTCACATACCTTGACCCGGCCAAAATTCATCGCGAACTTTTGTTCATGAGCCGGTTCATGCCCATCCCTGCTCAGCATTTTTGTAGTGCAGGAGGCAACTGGTAAGCTGACACTGATCATTGTTGCCACTAATGGGTTTGAGCGCAGTAAGTGGCAGTGGTGGTAGAGATGCTGGAGCTTGGCTGCTTGTTCCTGACCACCAGTGGCCCTTCAGGGAAGTAGCCCACCAGGTACATTCTCTTATGTATAATGGCCAGTCTGCCTGTACAATATTTTATGGTCAATTTGCTCAACTGTTTATGGTAGGCAAAAAGTTTTTAAGAGTCTTTGCCACTGAAAAGGAACTGTTAAGGCTTTTGTTGTTGTTGTTCAGTCGCACAGTCATGTTAGTCGAACTGCTTTATCTACAGCAGTTGGCAAATTTTACTCTGGGCATTGCCAGCTATACCAAGGTCCAGTCCACCCCAAGGGTTTGCCAGTGAAAGAGTCGAGGCTGTTGATTCCAAAATAATCTGTCTTTTACTTAAGAATATATAAATCACATACACACAATGCTGATACATACACACATTCAAGCAAGTTCCTCAGAAATACAGAATTAAATGTAGTCACTTTAGAAATCCCAGGTAGGGTGATGGGGAGCAAAAATCTGTCCTGAAGCTTGTCTGTTCCGAATGAAGAAAGAAGGGTCAGAATATTAGAATACTAGGGGAGATTAACACACAGCTAGAAACCAGCCAGCATGTGTGGGTCTCTTAACTGCAGATTAAGAGATCAAGTGGATTCAAGGGTTTTGGTACAGGAAGCTGGACATAAGAGGAGTTTGGGGAAGGCGGCTAGCAAGCACCAGATAACTGGTCCTTACCTTTTATAGGTGGATCTTTGGGTGGGTGGCAACTGAGCCATCTTGTGGACCCACCTACCTGTTAGTCCGTCCCAAAGCTAATCTCATTGGCTGCGTGTAGTGAGGGGTGGCAACCTAAAGGGTTGGGCCAATATTGTAACTCTAGATCTATCTCAAGAAAGACATCTGGGCAAGTGTGAAAGCTTGGCGTCAAGGAATCTTCTTGATGTGCAGATGAAGCTTGGCCTTTCCCAGGTAATCAAAGAGGCATCTGGCAGGAAATGCTCATTCAGATGTTAAGCAGAGATGTATAATACGTGTCTTTCAACAGTTCATCAATGGGGGTTGCTTTCATGCAAGTTGTTGTTTGCTGACCATAATGGCGATGTGTGCTTTCTCCCTCAGGCTAGCAGCTGTGTATTTAAAACCTCATTAACATGTAAGGCTTAGTGCAGGCACCATGTGTATCTCACAACAGGTGATTTGTACAGCTTCCTTTGAGCCTATGGGGGGGGGGTGCA